GATTTGATTGACTACTTTCAGCTACATTAAGTACAAGTATTTTGAACGATTTGATTGACTACTTTCAGCTACATTAAGTACAAGTATTTTGAACGACTTGATTGACTACTTTGTGTGTAAAGTGCGTATGAAAAATACTAATAATGCTAAATTAATTTTGTTACTAATCGATACAGGTCCCAATATATAGATTTCTTAATCACAATCATAAAAGTCAAGTGTCGGTCGGTCAGTCAGTCGGTCACACTCAATTTCTCCGAATTTCGTGAGTTACACGAGTCCAATACCACTTTTTCTCCTATAATACTCCCTCTTTCATTGCCCGTTCCCATTTTAGTTTAATTCAGTCGCTAATATAGGCGCAAATAGCTCCTGACTTTCGGCACTTTTTCTGCTATATAAAAGCCCGTCAAGGAGGGAGTTATTATACCAAGGATTTATTTAGCACCGAGGGAATTTAATTTGCCATTTGTTATTAAGAGAAGTTTTTGAACGATGATCGAATATTTACAAGAAATGTGGTTTTAAGAGAACTATTGCAATAATGTAAATGATGTGATAGGAAAATAACCGTGTTCAAACTACCAAGAATACTGTAAATATAACTTCCTACGCGTCTTGAAATGGTAAATTGTCCTCCCCTCTTCAATTCCCGTTGACCTCTACCATGTGTTTTATTTTGGTCAACTCATGCTAAATTATGTTACGCATGTTGTCATCAACCGTTATAAATACGTTCTGGTAATACAAGATCATCATTTTATTGATAGACTTTCACCCCCAAATAGCGATTTGTTTTATATCATTTACTACTGATAACGAGTATTTTTTTTTTCGCCTTTTACTAAACTTAATGTAAAAGACTGACCAAGAAATAACAAAAAAAGAGTAAAATCACTTATTTACTATGCAAAATACATAATAATTTTGTATATAAATCGTTTTAAAAGAAATGCCGATGAGATGTATATAATCTCATATAATTGATTGGTAATTCTAGGTTTAATTGGAAGTTGGGTTGTAAAACGTACAGCCCTCAACTACGTAAGCACGTATTGGCTTTATTTTAAATGTGCCAAATACTTTTTGGACAGTCTAATGTAATGGATAGAAAATACGGATAGATATGGATCATAGACGGAATATACGTACATGTAAAGATATAGAAAGAAAGGATGGACGTTTTAGTGTTATTATTTAACGGCAGTTAAAATTATTCGCTGTTAAAAACTAGACAGACTAAGGTGGGTCATGTGATTGGTCTGGGAAAACCTAAAATAATAATAATTTCAGGAAGTTGAATGTTAACTATGATATCACATGTCAGTTCTAGAACCTTATCACCGGAAATGCTCCCATAAACATAGTCAGTGTAATAAAAGAGAGCCAACGTAAAGGATGTAACTATATGACAACTCAGCGTACTAATTAAAGCCTAAGTCTTGTTTACTACCAAGAAAGAAGATAGTTCTAAAATACGACACAAGTTTTAAAAAAAACTATTTTTGTGACATTAAACGCTGTAAACCGTTTTTTTTTCTATAGTAGTCCACACTGGTAGAATTATTAAATATTTCTTTTTGTTGGACAATATCGACTGTACATTTCGTCACTTATTTGTAATACTTTGTGTAAATGTTAGTTAAGTGATTTAATATAACTGAACATGCGAAGGACGTCAACTTTTCAAGAACATATAATCTTTTGATTGGTTGCTTTTTTTACTTTGCTTTTTGTGGGTGCTCTGGGGCTTTGCTAGAAGTTAGTTTCTGAGTGGTAAAACTTTATAGTAGGGTGGCTGCGAACCTGGAGAACTAAGAAAATTTGTATCATTTGAGAAACGAGTAAAAAAATTATGAAAATTTTGCTCCACGTTTTATTATCTCGGAAAATGTATATGCACGCAAAGCATGCTGGTTATAAAGATATGATAGTTATTGATATTATGGTGCTATACTTACGATCAGACATTTTAGTATTTTATTAGATGATAATTACCTAATCCTTGATATTTGATAGATTAGATCAAATATTATTTTATAAATATGGAAGCAATATCTTTGTTTGAATATTTGTTTCAATAGTACCATTTTTTCTGAAGCTTTGTTTACCATTAATAACTAGGTTACAAGCTGAAGTTTAGTTAATTATGTAGAAGTATGAGGAAAAGTTGAAATATCATTGTGTCGTACGTGCGTGTATACACGTCTGCAATACCTGTAAGTGAAGAAAAACATGTTTGTAAAGAATATGGTCGCTCTAAAGGGACTTTTATGGCACTAATGACGCAAGTATAACAGAGCTTACAGTTTAAAAGAAATTAAAAATTAATACGAAATGACTGGAATTATTTTATCAGTTGCTGTAAACTTTGCATTATAGAAAAGTAAATTCAGGATTAACGTCAGCGCTTGTTTAATAAAGGTTGTTAGGGTTTGATGAACTATATATGAAACGAATTGTTTGATATAACCTATTATTATCCGCTTTCTCTTGTCATTTTGAATTTTTTCTAAAGGCGTATTCGTTCTAGGTTGTACTAAAGTAATGGGGAGAATGGATGGTGCGATATTCGATGACACAGATATGAGCGAAGGAAGAGTTGTGATTTATCTGTAAGTATTGTTTTAATTCAGAGAATAATAGCTTTAAGTGATTAATTTAGCAAAAAAGAGAATTATTTAAACATTTCATATGTAATTATATAGGTTTCTAATAAAACGGTTTTTAGAAACTATTTCAATTCTGTTGTAAACCGTTTGGTTAATTTCAAATTTTGTCATTTTCGCCTAGAATTAGAAAACATCGGTCGTTGTTGGTGCAGGTTCATAAAGCTGTATGAAAATTGAGAGAAATGCGTATTATACATTTTATGTCAGTGATACATTCATGTAATTGATTAATTATTAAGTTATTTAAATAAATATACATACAAAGTAATAATTATCTTTACTACTTAAACACTCATTAACAGTGTTGTAAATCTGTAAATTAACTCTTGGGGGGAGAAATTGGTT